CCCCGCCGGCGCCCGTCCTCCTTCCTCTACAAGAGCAGCCACGCTGAGCCCCCCTTGGCACAAAGGGAGACCCAGGGGCAGCAGGACCCCTCCATGGGGTACCATTGCCCCTCCAGCATCACCAAGCTTTCACCCCAAAGAGGCCCCATGGAGCATGGAGGAGGTGGTGGGGATGGGATATGGAGGGGCTCAGGATCTGGGGGTGGTGCTGTGCACTCTCCAGAGCATGCAGCAGGGTGGGAGTGGGTGCTGGAGACCCCCCCTCACCTTGAGGTACCGCCGGCGGTTGACATAGATGTGCACCAATGATCTGAACTTGATGAGCGTGTGCCGCATGCGCCGGTACCGCTGCCTGCAGGAGGGCACCCATCACCCTCTGTCACCCACCAGCACCCACCCACCACCCCTTTTCCCCCCCAGGATCCCCACCTGGCCAGGTAACCCCGTGCCCGGCTCTGCAGGAGGACAATTTTTCGGCGGAGGGAGCGGAAACGCCTCTTGATGAAGAAGGTGCGGGCGTAGCGCTGGAGGGTGAGCGCAGCCAAGTGATGGGCACGGGCTCGCTTGCTCTCCAGCGCCTGGTACAGCTGCTCCTTCAGGAAGAGCTGAGAGGGGGGACAATGCCATGAGTCCCCTGCCTCCACCACCCTTACCCAGGTCATCACCAGATGGGGCCTGCGGTGGTACCTTGGTGACACCAACGTAGTACATGGACGGGCTGACAGGGCAGAGGTTCCTCAGCATCTCCACGCAGTTGGCGCCGTTGGGAATGACATTGGACCACATGTCAACGAGGCAGCGGTACCTGGGCAAGCCGTGACACCATCACCGTCACCGTGACCACTGGGACACCAGTATAGCCCATCCCCATGGGATGAACACCGTGCCTGGGAAAACAGCTTCTCCCAGTGCTGGGGCTCCCACCATTGGGAACTCCTGAGCCAAACTCTGCCCCCCAAAACACCCGCAAGCCTTGGGGTCCCCCCTTGCCGAAACGATGATGCCTGACCCGCACCTGTCGATGAAGACGAGGAAGGGGATGCGGATGGGGAAGCCCTCCTTGCGGATGCGGATGGTCTCCAGGATCCCTGAGTACCGCAGCTGGGTGCTGACCACGTCGTTCTCAAAGAGTCCTGGCTCCTGGTTGGGGGGGGATATGGGGAGAAGCCTCAGCGGCCACATGGGCAGACCCCTACCCACCGTGCACCCCCTGTGCCCCCGACGCAGCATCGGCATCGCCGTGGGCAGGATCTCACCTTCTTGTTGTTGGGTTTGAGGCAGCGCACGAAGAAGGGGTTGCACCTGCGTTGGAGAGACCCCATTGGCCATGGGACACAGGGGACAAGCCAGCCTGGCTGTCCTGGGCTCGGATGTGCCCACCAGCCCCTGGCCTGGCTGCCTCCCCTGCCTATCCTGACCTCTCCATCTTTTCCACCAGCTCCAGGAGCGACTGCTGGAACCGGGCGGCCACGGTGGGGGCCTTGTACCGCCGCGTCCTGGTGCTGCTCCTCCTCACCAGGCTCCTCTGCCGGGCCAGCACCTGGGCATGGCCGAAGAAGAGGTTGGCCACCACCTTGGGGAGATGAGAAAGGTTAGGGAGGAGGAAGGTGGCCGGCATGGCACAGCTCTCCTGGCTCCTCTTCTCAGCCCAGCCACTGCCTTTTTGACCAGCCCTGAGCGAGTCACATCCCCTGTTTGGGGTTAGGTTCCCCAGATGGGGATGGGGAAGCACAAGAGCAGCCCAAGTGCCCATTTGTGCCAATACTGAAGGGATCAATGTCCAGAGGACCCCGTGGGAGGAGGGCACACAGTGGAGCTGGTGGCATCCCCTGCTCCTGGTCCCCTTGGGTGTCACCATCCATGGGGACATGAAACGTGGCGTGCAAAGTGGGGTATCCATGCCAATGTCCCCCCATCACTGCAGAGCCAGAGCTGGGCAGGGCCCTACCTTGGTCCTGCTGCTGATGAACAGGTCCAGCACGTCCTGCCGGACCTGGTCATAGTTCTTATCCAAAAACTTGTGAACCTGGCAAAGAGAAAAGCCTTGCAGTGAGGAATCTGGCAGCGTGGCCAGGGGAGGGGAGGAAAGATGCTTCAGGATAGGGGGGCCCTGAGCTGAACCTCCTGGTGCAGGATCAACCCCAAAAACCTCCTCTTGACCCCCTTGGACATCCCACCACTGCGTACCTGGTAGGTCACCTTCCCCGCATAGTGCTTGATGGTGAACTCGGGCAGCGGCATTTTGGGCTTGGTGTACAGCGGGTTGGTGCCGTGGTGGTAGTGACACTTCTGGAGGAACGTGTGGTCGGTGGCCTGGGGACAACACAGGGGTGAGACACAGTTTGGGTGGTTTGGCAGTCCCAAGGATGCAGGCACTGGGATGGGGATGCCTGGACAAGCAGCCAGACCCCGCTCTCAGCTCTGCCACCAAGCAATAGCGTGGTCATGGGCAGCTGCTGCTCTGTGCCTCAGTTTCCCCATGGGCAGAGAAGGTGCAACCACCCTTCTCTCTTTTACAGGGCAGCTTGAGGGGGCTTTCAGTAATTCCTGCAAAAGCCAGTGCTCTGGGGGAAGCCAATCCAGTGGCACCAACCCGGGACCTTCTGGGGCTTGTCCAGCCCAGAGAAACCTGAGGGGTCTCCCAGGACAGCCCAGGAGCGGAGCAGCCCCTGGGCACGGTGACACCCTGGGCACAGTGACCCCCCAATGCTGCCATCGGCACCATGCAGCCCCTCACCTGCGGGAAGCAGCTCTGGTCATCCAGGATCCGGAGGATGCCGTAGGGTTTTTGGGAGATGAGGTCGATGCAGGGCTGGTTGTCGCTGAAGGGGATCTCCTTCCACTCGATCTGCTCCCGGATGTACTCCTCCTGCGGACCGGCACCGGGTCAGCCCCACAGCCCAAGCCCCATGGTGATGCTCGCCATGGGGCAGAGCCCAGCGCCGCTCGTCGCCCCACCTGCTCCTCCTGGAAGACGATCTTGTTGAAGAAGAACTGCAGGTACTCGTTGGCGTAGTTGATGCACAGCTGCTCGAAGCTGTTGAAGTTGAGGTCCTGCGAGAAGAAGGGGCCGTGGAGCCTGAGACCCTGCACCACCTCAAAGCTGACGGCTTAGGGGGATGGAGCTGGGATGCATCCTGCTCACCTCGAAGCCATAGATGTCCAGGATGGCGATGGAGAGGGCCTCTTGCCGCGGGTACACCAGCTTGTTGATGCGGTCCGTGAGCCAGCCGAAGAGCAGGGAGTAGAGGGTCTTGGCAATGGCATCCCTGGGGAGGGGGTTTTAATCACTGGAAAGCCCAGTCCACACTGGAGGACCCAACTGTCCCCATTTCCAGCCTAGCATCCCACCTCCACCCCATCCCTGGGGGACAGACATCCCCAAAAAACACAGCCCCCAAATTCCCTCTACCTGGCATCCACGGCGCTTTCAACGGTCAGAGGGGTAAAAATCTTCTCCCGCAGCGTTTCCTGGTTGGGACGCACAAAACCAAGGGCGTGAGGGAGTTTTAGCACCTCCAGGGACCCCCATCCCTACCTGTGCCCCCCCTGCCCTGCACTCACCGTCACCTTGAAGGTGATGGCTTTCTGCAGGCCCTCGGGGGACACCTGCAGCAGCTCGGCCACCGTCCGGATCTCAGTGGCACTCACCACCGTGGCGATCTCCTGGCAGTCGGTCTGCGGGATGCAATGGGATGTGGTGACCTTTGCCGCATCCCAAATCGGGCCCGGGGAGCACATTTTGGCTCCCTGCCTTGGGGTACCTCGTATTTCTCGAAGTAGACATTGCCCAGGTGGAGGACGGAGGAGAGGATGCGGAAGATGCTGTTCTGCTCCTCAATGCTGAAGCTCAGCGTCTCCATGGTGTTGAGCAGCCGGCGGAAATCCTCCGCGTCGTCCTTGCCTGGGATCTCGCAGTTCCCACCCTGGCACGGCCCCCCTGGTGCCATCAGTGGGTCCCGGGGCAAGGGGGCAGCACCAAGGGACAGGGTCTGGGGGGACACCCTGGCCCGAGCACCCTCCCCATCCACATGCTGCATCCAGGAGGACTCAGGAACCCGCTGGCACCCTGGGTTTGGCCAAGCCCCCCAAAAAAGAGGGTAGACTGGGGGGGACACGCTACCTGGTTCAGGTAGTAGTAGGTCTCAGCGCCCTGCAGGCAGTAGCGCTGCCGCTGTTGGGCGGGCAGCCCTGCCAGCATCTCATAGAAAATGTGGTAATTGCGCTCGGTCTTGGCCTGGGGAGCAGGGGATGGAGCTGAGGTGCAGGGGCAGTTTTGGGGAGGGGTTGGCAAAGCCCAGGACCCTCCTTGTCACCCACCTGGAAGACCACGCGGGACTTCTCCAGCAGATACTGCGAGGTTATGGCACCGCAGATCAAACCGCTGCAGGGGCGAGAGGGGGCACCTGGCTGGCAACCTCGGTGTGGAGCTCCCCCAAAAGCACCCACCCCTGCACCCGGTGCTCCCCTCCAGCTCATGGGGGGTTGGGGTCGGTCCCCAGGTGCCCCTCAGCAGGGATGGGTGGGCAGGGAGAGGTCCCTGCACTCGGCTCCTGAGCCAGGGCTGGAGCTGCTGCACCCCGGAGGGGACACCAGGCACCCCACGATGGGGGCAGTGGGGCTGGGACGGGCCGTGGGTGGGAGCAGGTCAGGGGACAGCATTGCTGCCCCTACCCCAGGGACACCAAACACTGCCAGTCTTTGGGGGATGTTGCCTTTCCCCAAAAGTGTCCCCGTGTATGTCCTGCCCTGGAGCTGAGGGGCAGTGGGGTTGGGGGCTGGGTTGGGGACCCCCGGGGACAGAGGGGACACACACGGGGATGGGGAGCAGCCACACGTGGTCATTACTTACTTCTCCAGAAAGATTTCCACAAATTTCCCAAACCTGCTGGAATTGTCGTTCCTCACGGTTTTGGCGTTGCCGAAGGATTCCAGCAAGGGGGTCGCCTCCAGGATCTGCCACAGCCATAGGGAGAGCCATGGGGTCAGTCTGGGCACCCCAACACACCCCTTGTCACCCTGCCACCCTCCCTGCCACCTCCTGCCCCGTGCAGACACCCATGGGTGCCAGAATTTGAGGCATGCATCATGGATGGGCTGCACGAGGATGGGGGAGAGCGTAAGGACCCCATGCACCGAGCTCCTGCTGCCCATCCCCATCGTCCCCCTGCAGCTGGGGTGACGTGGCCGAGATGCCACCACAACGCCCTTGAACCATCCCAAACCGTGTGTATCTCCCCTGGTACCTCTATCTGCCGTGGTCCGGGTGGAAGCATGGGGAGAAGAAGAGAGGAGCAGAGCCATGAGCAGGGGATGGAGGAGAATTTGGGGAAGGGGAACACGGGGACATCCCCAGGGAGCCCCCACCTGCGGGGCCGTGCTGCGTTTCTGGCTGACGGCTGCCAGGTAGCGCAGGATCAGTTTGGTGGCTTCAGTCTTCCCAGAGCCGCTCTCCCCACTGAAAAAGAGAGGAGCGGGCACAGCCAGGGCCATCACCAGCAGAACAAGGGGCTGTCCCCACCCCAAACACACCCAGCACCCCATCCCCAGAGGCACCCATCGGCCCCATATCAGGCCAGGATGGCGGCAACGATGGCAGCGCCGATTTGGGGGCATCCTGAGAGAGGCCCTGCATGGGGACAGCCATGTCCCACCTGATGATGATACACTGGTTGTGTTTGGCATCCATCACTTTGGAGTAGGCGACGTTCGCGATGGCAAAGAGGTGCCTGGGGAGGCAAAAAGCAGAGTCTGGGGGGGTGCGGTGTCACGTTGCCCCAGCACCGGGACCCCCGCTGCAACCCTGAGCATCCCCACACATGGACCGAGGGTTCTGGGGGCTGCCCTATATACCCAGGGGTGGGTTGGGGTGGGTCGGGGTGGTCCTGTCCCTGTTTTGGGACAGGTACTCACGGTGGGTTCTCGCCCAGTGCCCTGCCTTCGTACTGCAGCACCTGCTCCGTCCCATAGATGTTGTAGAGCCGGTACGGGTTCACCGACACCAGGATGCTGCCGATGTAAGTCTGCGGGACAGCGAGGTTTTGGGGTTGCGAACACTCAGAGAGCCATGACCTCCCCCAAAAACCCCACACCCGGGGTCTCTGAGGGATGCCAGGTATCCCTAAGCTTACGTAGATGAGCTGGCGCTCGAACCGCGTCCGGATGTTGCTCAGCACTGCGGCTTCCTGGAGGTCCCTGGCATGGGGCAGAGGCTGCATTAGGAGGTGACAGGGGGACAGGAGGTGACTGCTGTCCCCAAGTGTCTCCCCAGCCCTGGGAGGCTGGAGTAGACCCCGTGTTTGGGATGGGATGGGATGAGATGGGATGGGATGGGGGATGCCTGGTGGGGGTTGCAGCCCCTGTGTTGGTCCCCGCAGCGCTGGGTGACAAAGGGGACAGGGACACTCACTCCAGCTGGGTCATGTCCTCCAGCCCGTCCTCCTCCTGCGGCTCCTGGTACCGCACGATGGGCAGGCTGCACAGCGACTGCATCTGCACGGAGCAACCCAGCGCGGTTCCGTCACAGCCGGGACACACCAGCCCCCTCCATCACCCCACCCACCACCCCAAAACCGCCAGGGAGCGTGCAGTCAGTGATGGCAGGGACCCTGAGAAAGCATC